TATTTTGTTGAAAACAACAAAGCGAGATCCCAAATGCACAGGAAGAAAGAGGTAGAAAAAAAAAAAAAGAGGTAGAAAAGGGAAGATTGAAGAAAAACTAAAAAGAACAGGAAGCAGAGGTGCAGGTTCCCGATTTAAAGAACAAAAGGCTCCAATATTGTTTTCAGATAAATATTTTTAACATGAATAAGCTTGCTGTACCTTCTCAAAATCCCTAGACCCTGAGCCTGCTCACTCGCATATAATCGTGTATCAGCAATAACCAAGAGGCAGGAGGTCCCCCCCGGCCTGAACTTACTTTGGTGAAGACTGAAGTGCTTCACAGAGAAGGTTTCAGCTCAGATGCAAATGAGCCTTTTCCTGGGAATACGATGCAATTACCATATTCGTGGCAATCACTCATTGATCAGAAGCGCTATTTAAGCTCAAGCAGAGCTAGACTATTCCAACTCAGCAAGATGATGCCTTTCAAGAGAACTTCTAACTTAGCTAGTAGCCAAGCATTTACGTACTACTGGAAACTCAGTTTAGTAGAAAAACACAAAAGCTACCAATTAAGCAGTTAAATAACRTATTAAATAGAGCGAAGAAGACACCAGGTGTTAATGGTAAGTGTGAAAGGTGAGGCCACGGGCAGCCGTAGGGAACCCGCTAGGAGCTCTGCACCCGAGGACACGGAGCCTGTGCTGGGATGGCTGTTCCACACGGGCACCCTCGGGTTTCAGGCTGCTCCAAGGAGCAAGGGGGTGGCGAGACCCGTGCCCGTCCGCAGCGCGCCGTGAAGGACAGCAGCGCCCCAGCTCCGGGGATGCGTCGTGCTGGAATTCAACAAGCTGGAACGTGCTGCCCAACAGCCCAAGTGCTGACCTTGAAGTCCAAGACCTTATGGAAAGAGCTTTCTAAAAGCCTTCACCTGAGAAATCAGCTTGCAGCAAGTTCGCTGCTGTTAATAGTATTGTAAAAAAAGGACAAAACCAAAAAAAATCCACAATTTCCTACCTCTGAACTTGATCTCTTTGCATCTGCTCCATTCATCCAGTGCAGAAGGACACTAACTTTTGCATACTCTTTAGGAACAGTCACACCAACCAGGCCTCCTCTTTTGGGGCACATTTCCATTTCCCCTCATTCCTGCCGTGGCCTAATCCCACTGCTATGGGTGGGAGCACCCTGGCAGATCACTTACAAAAGCCAACACAAGCACCTGCATGGAACCAGCAACTCAAAATGCTCCAGTTCCCTTTGCTAGCTCTGCCTCTCCTTACACCAGGAGCTATGTGGGCACCTTGAACACAACCGTTYGGGGATTGGGGACGGGTGTGCTATGAGTCACCTTCATCCACATTAAATGAAGTGTCTACATGTGATGTTCCAGTGATCTCTACTTGGAGAAGAAGCCAAGCAAATGAAAGGCAGTTTCTCTAACTTTGCTCCAAAGCATCAAGCTCTGCAAGCTCTACAAGAGCAGGACACACAAGGAGGGACTTCAGCAGGCAAAACAGGAGCCAGGCAGTCCCAAGCAGAGCWGGGGCAGCAGCCCTGGGCTCAGCCACATGGGAGCACATGCAGCTCCCTCCCATCCATCAGCCGTCAAACATATAGTGAACCTGTTGCAGGTTCATATGCACTATATGTTGCAGGAACATATAGTGAGCTGCTGCATGGACTTGCAGATGAGGGATCCTCAGCATGAGCAAATGGGCAGAATAAGGATAATGACCCTCTCTAAGCAGTAGAGGCAGAAGATGCTCTGAAGAGTTGGAAATTACCCCAGGTTCCATGCTGAGCCACTGACAGCTGTGTTTTTGAGGGAATCTTATCACTTGGTCAGATATGTGGAGCTGTGGATACAGGATGACTTCTGAAACCAACCAGGACCTTTTGTAAGCAAGCTTGCAGGGTTCTCCTGGCAATACCTTCTGCTCGCGAAGGGCCCTCATGAAGACCTCAACTACCTCAGTGCACTGCAGTGGTTCAGGTTCTCCTCTACAGTGAAGACTCTGCTCTTGAAACTAACCTGCTGCCTTAAAGGTTGTTCACATCTGGACAGACATGGAAGATGCTTGCACAAGAGTTTTTCCAAAAGTAAGATTTATTATTTTAACATCCAGACTGTCTTTATTAAAACATATTTGAGATATTTTAATGAAACAATTTTTCTGTAGAAGTTTAAGAGAAGACCTCATTTTTCCTCAGAAATGCACAAGCAAGTAACGTGAGCAGCCCTAGAGAATACATCCAAGAAAAGGGGGAAGGCACAATAATGCCTTCTGGGCTGGCTGGGTTTCAATAGGCAGGTATTTCAGTCACAGTCTGAGAGCTTTGYTCCACTTGGATAAGCTAAGCAAGAGCGTGCAAGAAATATGTACTTAAATAAGGCACAACCCAGAGAGAAGGCAGGTTGTGATGTGCACAGAAGAATGATTTCAGAAAAGGGAATCTCGTCCCTCACACCAGGGCAGTCCAAGCGATCCGTTTAGCCTGGAGAAGAGAAGACTGAGAGGGGATCTGATCAACATGTGTRAGCAGGAAGGATGGAACCAAACTCTTCTCGGGGGTGGCCAGTGACAGCACAAGGGGCAATGRGTATAAGCTGAAACCCAGGCAGTTCCATCTGCATGYGAGGAAGAACTTCTTCMCTGTGAGGGTRCCAGAGCCCTGGAAGAGGCTGCCCAGGGAGGCTGTGGAGTCTCCTTCTCYRGAGATCTTCCAAACCCGCCTGGYTGCCACCCTGTGCCCCGTGCTCTGGGTGTCCCTGCTGGAGCAGGGGGTTGCACTRGGTGATCYCTAGAGGTCCCTCCCAACCTCAACCAGTCKGTGATTCTGTCATCATATTAGCCTGGCCTACAAAGTCTGGCACTATTTTCTACACTTTCCTCTCCACTTCAGCGCACGTGAAGAGGCCTCTTCCCAAGGACTTCCCTCACTCTCAAGCACCATATTCACACACTCACTCACACAAAACCTCTCTAACAAATGAGACCCTCAACAGAAGTCAACACTCCAGCTCCAGGAGGAAAGATTAAAACTAAGTTTGCACACTGAAAACACCAGGGGACAATGATGAAGAACACTCGGGCAACGCTGCCTTACGGAGCACCAGAAGGCAGGGGTTTGTGTGTGCACTTGTGTGCAAGGCCAAAGAAACACAAGACAGAAGGGCACGGCAACCAGGAGGAGACCTGATTTAGGTGAAGCTGCTCAGCAGATCTGTGTGTACACCTATTTATAGGGGACTGTTCCTGCCCTCTCTCAGTGCACTACATAGGTGAGAAAAGCTTCCTATTTTATAAAATAGGAGAACATTGCTGGCATTACACATTATAGTAAACAGGTTAAACAAATGCCAAGGTCTCTTACCGTTTAAGCCAAGCCAGTGACCTACTGAACTAAACTTCCCTTCTCCTAAGGCTGTGCAGTGTGTAGGCAGTGATTGAAAGTTCTCGCATTACCCCTGCAGCTCTGATGTGGCCAAATTACCCTCTGTTCTCGAGAGAGCCAATTTGCTCAGATGATTCATATCCTGTTTTGAATTGGCAATCGCCAGYGCTTCCTCCCAACCGAATGTGGTAATTTCTTAAGTGTTATTCTCGAGGGATAGAATATTTTTTTTCCCCCTTAATTTATTTCATTTTGACCACAGCGTGAAACAAAGACTGATGATCAAGAATGGTTCACAGCTCTGGAGAAGAGAGGGGAAAAAGAAAAAAAAAAAGGCTATTGCAATGCATGGAGCAGATCTGCCAGGGGGAAAAAAGTGCATTAAATAACAACAATGGACCTCAGACAAATTAACTGTATCTCTTTATTGTTAACCAATGAATGTTATCCAAAATAGTAGATGCAATTGTAGCTTAATTGTACAACAACAAAACATGATGCTAAAGGAAAAAGCATGTGGAAAATTACTTCACCAAGTAATCATTAAATGTATGTCTTAGTATTTCTGCACCAGTAATTGTTCCCAACTGCTGGTGACAGCAGCTATTACCACTTTGTTCACTGTGGAAATCCATATTACAAATGGTTGTTCCTGGTYGTTTAGAAAAAAAAAATCACACAGCTTTATAAATGGATCTAATCCATTTAGCCCTACTCTATATACGGCAGATTTATGAACAGCAAACTTCACTGGTATTTCCCCCCAACACTGAAGCTGATGTATCTGTGGTAGCGCACCCTTTCCAGGGAAAACTAACAGCTCCCTGGAAGGCCAGCGTTTCCCCYGCTCACAAGTTGTTGAAATACCTCAAAAATTGGCTCACGTGTCGGTGTCCGAGGCCTGTGGGAGCCCAGCTTCCCGCAGCATCTGCCAGGAGAAACCCCAGCTCCCGCGAGGCAGCGGTGGGAAGCGTGGGCACCCACCTGCACACCAGCCTTCGAGCTCAACCACGTATGTAATAGCCCCACAAACCAAAAATATATTAATGTATCTATTTTATTTTCATGATGTCAACCCCACATAGCCAACCTCTAACTCCGGGAGAACAAAAGAAAAAAAAAAAAAAAAAGAAAAAAAAGGAAAAAAAATTGTTCATTAAGAAATTTAAACCTGTTGTGCATGAAAAAAATGCTTAATAAAATGGCAAATTTTAATAGATAAGTGTAAATTTATGAGTGCATAATATCAAACAGAAGAGAGCTGAACCATCCTCAGAGAAAGCAGGGCTCTTCCCTTATAGGTACTGGTAGGAAGGAATAATTGCAGTTCACATTAACTGCCAGGTTATTTCCCAAAATTCAGTTTCTAATTCTAAAAGAAAAAAAAAAAAAAAAAAACCCACAAATAAACAGGAAAAAAAAAGTCTTGTTTTCAAGACAGGAAGTACTTAGTAGCAATGATCTGACATGAGATTACGACACTGGCTTCTCCGTGAGCTGAAGCTACAAATGCTACACAACAGCTTTCCCTCCAATTATGGGACTTCCATGGGGTACCTGGATGCCCCCGGACGAGCTCCCACTCGCCCCTTCCGCCCGCTCCAGCGGCCAGGGCACCAGGCACAGCTTTAACAACCACATGGTGCTGTTACAGCTTAACCAAAGCGCAGCTCAGCAGTACCTAGCACTGTAAATGAATGAGGAGTAAGGAGGCCTGGCTCCGTGGGATCGCTGTGCAGCCACCATCAATTTACACAGTTTTGTCRTGGTGTTTGAAGGACCAGTCATCACGTACATAGAAGTGAGGTAGGATACTGTCCCCTCCCTGGGACTGATGTTTTCATATGCTCCCTTGCCAGAAAGGTCCGGGTTTCCCCACTGCAAAGAAAACAACCGGGAGCCAAGGGCAGCCAGAGCTCGGCACCCGGCTGCTGCTTGGGGGCACTCGGTGCCCGTGCAGCCCTCGGCTCCGGGAGCAGCGGCCACGCGGGCGCTGCCGCAGGGAACGTTCCGCCGGGAACRGCCCCCTGCCCTCCGGCCTTTGTGAACAGGCAGGCAAAGAAAACCATCAATGATGACGGGGCAGCAAACACCAGGGCGCTCCACGGGCGAGGAGAAACCTCGCGAGGGAAACACACAGGCGGSCACTGGGAGTCAGTCACGTCCAGTTCTGCACGGGGTGGCTGCACGGTGAAACGTGAGCTCCAACCTCGTCACACCACAGCAGGACCTATTGGTTTTAGGTTCAGCCTCACCACTCYTTCCGTGTCTTAACCGAGTAGCACGTACACTTGTCAGTCATTATATACYTCACATCAGTTGTCGAAAGAAAACAAAACAAAAAGAAACAATGAAAATGAAAACATAATAAGGGGGAAAAAAATAAAAATTGCCATCCTTCTCCTCCCCCTCCCCCCAAAAGGCAGGGATGACAGGCTGCCTTGCTGCTGAAAGGCCTCCCCAAATTTTGCTTTCAACCATCGCAGTCAAATGAGCAGTAAGTGCTTTGGCAAAGTGGGGTGCAATCCATCCAGCCAAAAGGCCTGCTTTTTTCTCTGTTGGTGGTTCAGCTTTACGAGGAACATATATGCAAAATACCAGCTCTCACATTGCTTCAAACTCATCAATACGTTGTTTTGTATTGCCTTGTCGGATTTGTCGCAGAGTCTTGTACTTATCACGGCCTGCTTTAACATTCTCAGCATGAAGGACATCATTTTGTGTTTTCTTGGTTTCATCTCTGGCTTGAGCCAACTCAGAACTTAATGCCTGTTGAATAAAATATTTGTATTTTAAGCGTTTTGACTACTCTTTCTGTGATTCTGGAATTTCTGATAACTTCTCTCCTGCAGTTTGGGCAGGGATTTCTTGGAGGCCACCATGGGAAATGCCTTTTGTGCTGTTCAGCAGCCCAGAGGACCTGCCTGTGCTGCAGCTGGGAGGGACGAGACTGCAGCATTCCCTGCTAGAAGTGCTGGCACCAGGCACCAGGGAAGGCCCCACGCCCGGTGCCGGGAGCAGCAGGGCAGAGCACAAGAGCAACCTCCTCAACCCCTGCTGCCTAGGAAGGCATCACACCCCCCTGCTGCTGCTCAGCCACTGGCAAGGCCGAAGAGATGGATGCTGCACATGCACGCTCACCACCACGACCAACAGGGACATTCCACTCCTTTCCTCTCTTTCCCAACACAGAAACACAGGAAGGGCTACCCCTAACAGCAGATTATCACACCGAGTGGCAATGCTCTTGGTGGGCACGAACGGTTTCATGGAAGTAAGTTTCACCCTAAATGGATATCTTTCTATTTTTGCAAAGTGTGCAAATAACTACAAATAAACCCAAATCCTATTAATCMATCATCAGTTTATACTATACAAGACAGTGCAGTATTTAAAAAGGAAGGCATTATGTTTTAAAATTCCATATCCTGGACATTATGTAATTACTTGAAATATTTACTGACCAATGTGACAATGTATTAACACTTTTTAATCTATCAAGTATAACCCGTGTTTTTAATTTATTTTGCTCCTTGCACATCATGAAAGGTATCAGTTGGTAAATTAGTAGCACATCTAGTAAGTGATAAGAAAGCTGTTTCTTTCATATACTATAATTTTACTGAGATTTTGGACAAATAAGGAAAGAAAACCTAAAGCTTTAAGTATGTGGATAAAACTGTAAGCCTTCATTACCTGTAGCTGTTTCTTAACACGCTCGTTTTTCTGCGTCTCCGTTACCCGTTCCTCCTCGCTCCTGTGGTTCATGACACCATCAGAAGACAGTTCTGCGCTGGCCTCGGCGTTGTTCTCATCGTGCTCGTCGTGTTCGTTCTCCGTCGGAGGAATGACTGGCGGGGGCGGAGGTGGAGGAGGAGCAGACATCACGGATTTCAGTTCTTCTTTGGTCTTTTCCAAGTCCTCCTGTGCTGCAAAAGCCTAAATGCAATAAACAACATGCAGCATCTTAAAATTGGTGCACGGACGGAGAATTTGAAGCATATTTGAGATGTTTTAGATACAACAAAAACATAATTAGTTATAAATGAAGCAGAATTAACTTAGATTCACCCCCGATGTGTTTATTTTCCAGCATGAAGCTCCAGTCTATTTCATGACTCTATGACAATTTCTTCCCCGTGTATCAAATTGTTATTTAGAAACAAATTAAGTAGAAATATGGCATCAGAAGACTGGGGGATGAAAATATCTAAGACAGGCTTCCCTGAAGTCTAAGGGAGTAAGATTCAAATTCATGGAATTCCAAAGGTATTTCTGCCCTCATCTCCCTTGGCTTCTTTGAGTCTGGACTTCATACAACATGAGCTCATTACTTTGTGCTGCCATTCTGAGGCTTCCTCTTCTTTCTTTTTCTTGGCCTCCTCTAGAAGTGCAATCTTGGCAGTGAATTCAGCAAGCTCCGCTGCCTGAAACAGAAAATGAGGTAAAAATTTTAATTTGTTACCGTTTTGGCTCAGCAGAAGAAGAGAAGTGAATCTTTTGCTGTGATCTGACTTTGACAGTCAGCTTGTATCATTTCTGCTCATCAACATTTGGATCTGTTTCAATTTAATRCAGTATTAACTGCACCAATCTGCTGATGATTGTGGACCACGACCTCAGTACTCTAAGACTAGAGCCTGCCTTCAGCATTGTCTGTCACAGCGAGGCTGCAGAAGACCAAAAGCTGTTGCGTAGTCAAGAAATTCTCTCCTGGACAATGACGGTGGCATTCTCAGTAGGGGCAAGTCTTGAGTTAGAACTGGCTTAGCACAGAATGTAAAAAAGCACTGAGTATGTAGGAGGTGAGGACAGGCATGGGGAAGTCACAGCAACAGTCACCAACTCCTTCCTGCCCCAAACACATCTTCAGGCTTCAGAATGGAATTGTTTCAACAGAGAACAGGCTTCCCAGTGGACTGCAGAAAGAAGCCTCTCATTCTTGACTGGACAAACTTAACACTTTCAGAAGAACTTAACAGGTGGGGTCAGCCTGAAATGTCCCCATCATTCGTTTCTTACACATCAAGTTTCCCCCCGCCCTCTTTCCCTCTCCTCGTTTTTGTAGTGGAACATGCAATGTTTTCTACTAAAGCACCACAACCATCTTTAACAGACGAACCATCACTCGTTCACCTGACAAAACAGATGTAACCACACCCCAAAGCTGTATTTCCAGCTCTATTTTTCAATTTGTTTCAGAATAAGGCGAAAGCTTCCTACTAGTTGCTCCTGGTTCTTCATTTGATCAGCTGCCTGCTTGGCTAGAGCAGCTTTAGCTTCCTCAGCTGCTCGACGCTCCCTTTCCAGGCGCTCCGCTTCCTCCTTTGCCCGCTTCCTTTCTTGATCCAGTTCCAGAGCTCTTCTAGTCTGTTCTTCCAGCTCTGCCCAAAGGAAAAAGTGCAAGCAAGATATCACTGCTCAAGTCCTATGCAACACAGAAATTACAGCTATAACATGCTCAAAATAAGGTGACCTAGAACACCGACCAAGTTTCACAAGGCTGGCTCAAGTTAGCCTGACCGAAGTCAAGAAGGGCTGCTGAGCACGYGGCCTGAAGCTGCAGCCCTCTGTGACATTTTCCTTTCCTCCTCCTCTGAAACATATTTGGAAACCTATTGGCACCAATACTGTCAATGATTTTCTTTATCATGTCTGAAGTCAAGAATTATGACAGAACAGAGGAACTGATCTTTCAAGAATGTGAACTAACACTCAAGAAAAGAAGAAAAAAGCCCACAAAAATAACAAAACATCAAAGTGAAGGGAAAGAGTGGGACAACGAACTTGCAATAGAAAAAGCTAAACTCAACAAAATTCCAAAAGAAATACTTGGAACCTTTTTCTCCAACTCCATGATTTCAGCACTTCAAGCACTGCAAGACTGAGTTAAACTTCCACTTTATTAATGAAAACTAAAGCTCTTGCTATTTTAGAACTTTTAAAAATACATACAGCATGTTAACTCAACAAAAAACAATTTAAGACATAAACATATCTTTTTATTATTATTATTACTAAAAAAAAAAAATCTCTACTAACTCTTTTTCCTCCCATAAAGAAGTGTGGCACTGCAACAGTCAAGCAAGCAAACCAGTGCCACCCCACAGAGCACCACCAGGACCAGCAGGAACTCACCTTTCTGGGCTTTCATTGTTTGTTCTTCTATTTGCCTTAAGCGTTCCATTAATTCTTCCTTTTCACGCTCTATTCTTTCCTTTTCCTTTTCTGCTATTTCCCTTTTTTTCTTCTCATTTTCTAATTGTGCCCTAAGAATATTTTAAAGCAAGCTTTTAGGTCTCTAATGGATCAAATTTTGCCCTCTCACAATTCTGCTTTGCGTTTATTAGTTTCACTACTATCTGAGTAAATTAAATGTTTCAATTTAGTTAACACTGCAAACTAAAGAACCAARTTTCTCTATTTCAAAATATTGTACAAAAATATGAACGGGATAAACTATAACTAAGGCTGCTTGTCTGTTAACCAGGTCAAATCCACAACTACAGTTGCAATTCAGAAAGGACTGACGTTTTATCTAGGCTAGAAAAAGGAACTTTAAATACATAAAAGATAAGTTATGTTAATCTTCACTGAACTTGTTCTAAAGATAGACTGTACAAGTCCTGAGGAATGAGGCAACACAGAATTAAGAATTAACAAAAACACTTTAATGAGAAACAGCCATATAGATATCATTAGCATTATTGAAAGCTTAAAAAGCAGCTATGGCTTTCTATTAACAGTGACAGTTCAGTCACACCAGCCTGAAACCTGCTTACATATTACAGAGAGAAAAAGCAAATTTATCCTCTAGAAGGTCTAACATACTACGATTTCATTCTCTCAAAAGGTGGAAGAATTTTTTTCCCGTTTTATGGAAGTTTGTTATTTACCTTTCCAATTGTTTCTGATGTTTCTCCTCTCTAGCCTGGGCCTTCATCTGTTGCACTTCAATTGTATCAGGTTTTCTCCTCCTCATGTACAATTCATGATTTCCCATGCACAGTGCCAAAATTCGCTTATTAATTCTCAGACGGGGTGCATAAAAAACAAAATCCTAGCAAAAATAATTGCAGAGTATCCATTAATCAGTTGTGATAATACTCAAAGCATAACTGCATGCTTGCATTTGTTAAGTTTAATCTTACAAGTATTTTAGCCTTCTTCTGACCGATTCAATACCACAAATGCATAAATCCAGTTGTTGGAAAGAACATGCAAGATAAATGTAAAAAGTCACATCTGGATTCCTTGCGTAGAAGTCAGCTACACAAAATAGTTTACAAAAATTTCCAGAAAAGCAAGATTATTTCAATATGGAAGGTAACACAGCATTTTTCCCCAGAAAGATTCTTGAAAGATACTGTTGCAGTACAGGCAAAAAAGAAAAAGTGGAAACAAAGTTTTAACATCTCACACCACAGCTTTTCAGCTCATCGTGAAATTAGGTGCCTTTTTAACATGGTAAAAAAGGAAGAAAATATAATAGAGTATCAACCAGAATGAGAAAAGAGAAGTTGAACATATCTGAAAATAGATATTTCCTTTGGAAAAATGGTTATTCTACCCATATGAAAACTTAGTGGCATAAACAATTTACTTGTGCCATAGTGCAAGAGCAGGTCCCTTCACATTTCAGAATTTTATACACAGAGGKATACTATTTTACAGACTACTTACAGGGGCTTTTTTGTCAATTGGCTTTATGACAAATTTTTTGTCGTTAAAAGAGATGTTTCTTATTTCACTCCATGGAAAACCAATCTTGGGTGTCAGCCTTCAAAGAGAAAGAGTTCTCATTAGAAGCAGAAATACRGGTATTTTGTTTAAGTCCAATAACCCATAGGGCTACTAATTCTGTATCATTTTCACTACTGCACTTTACAATTACGTTTAGTAGACATGACAACAGTTCAAGTACACTTTAGTAGGCATTTTTATACATCATTACAGACCCAGTAAATGAGTAAGCTACCTACACCAGTRGCTCCAGTGGCAAAAGACACTTCCAAATTTCGATCTGTGGCTTACCTACTCATTAAGTATATTATGAACACYGCAGCCAAGTACTGATTTTTTAAGCCACTTATTTTAAGTTTGGTGAAAATGATGAGCATATAATTTGAGAAGAGCCCCAAATTAAATTAGCCTTTAGTAATGCTGTAGCATGGCTTAGAAGTAAAATACTTATCCCTCCRACTCCATCCCCATTGCATTTTAAGCTGAATAAACTGAGATCAGAAAGAGTTACTTTTAATGCTAAATGCCTAAGAGTATCTTTTTTTTTCCCCACAGGTCTACCATTTTTTCCTATTTATATTATCTTAATATGAGTGTAACAGAAATAGTTTAAGTACTGATTGCTAAACATCAGGAAAGCAACAAGACCAAAACCAGCAGTTCTTCCAGGGCGATTCTCTGAAAACTTCCTCCATCTCTTAGGGGTTATATTGCCATCTAATGGCAATTAAGCCTTACAGAATTTTGTTAGGGAGCATAAACATCAGTAGAGAGCCTGAAATTTCAGGTCAGGTAACTGCAGCTATCTGGTGTTTGAGTTTTGCTCAACTCCAAATCCCTGTGGAAGAACCGTTAACATCAAATACAATTAATAGAGCTGTCTGTAAAGGAACAAATAGTGACTGTTCTGGTGTTCTTATGATAGTTCAAATTTTGTACGTTTCAGCTTTATCACTATTCAAGCAGAAGAGACTCTTTGATCTCTCTCCCAGGATACATGAATCACTGATTTTCTTTGATGTCTACAAGGTTTGGAGTTTTTTTTTTGTTACCAAAGTTTTTGTGCTCTAACAGCTCTAATTCTAACTTCTGCTCTTAGAAGAAAAATAAATAAATTCTCATTAAATAGGCTGCCCTGTTCACAATGGCCTTCTCGCTCTGACCAAAGAGGAGGTCTTGAAGGAGTGAAAAGTACAAAAAGAAACCACACAAGAAATGGTTCAGCTATCAAGCACCCATATTTAGCAATGCAAATTTGAATTCATCAGAACTGTTCCTCCACTGCCCTACTTTGCATCCCTATGTAACATTTAATATTCACATATTCTAGTAGTTAACTTCTGTCATTTTTCTGTCTTTTAGAGGAAAAGGTCTTTGAGAACTTTTTTGCTAAATGTTGCAGAAACACAAAATAAGGCAGGTTTTGTACGAATCTAGGATAGGATCTCCTAGGGCAGAACTCCAACAGAAACATTAGCCACTTACTTATCATCGTGCTCATAAATATTCAGACCCAAAGCATCAACTCCGAGCCACAATTCAGTTCCCTTTTTATTCTTTATTTCAAAATAGTTGACTCCATACATCTCCAAATCTTGTGCAATCTTAAGGTATTCCATCATAGAATCTTCCCTGATAAGAGAAAACAGCATAATTAGTCAAGAGTGAATTGTTTGAGTAAAGGAACCACAGGAAAAAAAAAAAAAAAAAGTGACAATCTAGATAGGAATGCAGTCTCTCTTCTAAGAAGTTCTGTGTACATTGATTCAAATATTTATATAGCTCATTACATTAAAACTCAAGTTCAATTCAATCATTACATTTTGTCTTTCTACCCTGGGAGCTAAGGAAATATTAAATATATTGTAGAGGTATGTGGGCAAATAAATACAGGAAGAAAAGCAGATGAGAAGCTTGCTTAAGATTGCCACAGGTAGCCCATAACTGAACTGCAGTCTCATCAACCCTCCCTTCTGCTTTCATGGAAGATGGACAACTGTCTACCCCAGGCTGAGCAAAAGATAAAGGCTTTTTCCAAACAAAAATAACCCCTTCTCCCAAAAGTCATATTAAGCCAAAAAACTCCAAACCTGAAAATCTTTATAGAGTACGAAATGTTTTCTGCACAATTACCTTAACATCCCTCTGTGTTCTTCATGCCAGTTCTGTATTCTTTCTTCCCACTGTTCTTTTGTCAGTTTGTGCTGTTCTAAAACACTGTTAACAGAAAAAGTTACTATTAAATAAAACTGTCAAGAAATTTAAACTGAAATTTAACCTGAAGATATAAGAGTAAGTTTGGTACATGGCAGAACTTGTGCTTTGGTAGAAGTTGAAATGTACCTCCCTTGAATTGAAACGTAAATTGCTGTTCACCTTTTAATGCAGACAGAGTTTTAAAAAACCAAAAAACCCAACAACCTCCCACACCTTTGAATTTCAACAAATACACCCCTCAGAACAGCGTGAACCCTTTCTTTTTTTCATAGTATTTTATATCCTCACTGTAATAAAATCCCTGTCATGCCACATTTCAACTTTCAATAAAGCCATAAAAATGTAACGTTTGAAAATGTTGGCAATTAATCTTTGTACTTACAGACATATTCAGTTTTTCATTCATTGTAATTTGTTAGAAAACACAACACATTAAGACAAGTTAACAGAACTATGCTCCTTATCCTTTGTTTTAAAAATGAGTAAATAAACAATTTAAGAAAAATGGAATTAGGATACAAGGGATAACTGCAATAATGGATGTATGTTTAGGCCTATTTAGAACTATCAATATATTACAGCAGTTGGGAGTCAGACACATAATTTCTTTATGCTTAAAAAAGAAAATACATGGGGAAAAAAGGCATTTCAGTGTTTTTTTTTTCTCTCGTGTATTTTCCATTTTAAGCATTCCTAGAGAAACAATTTTAAAGGGCAACTAATCAAAGACAAGGCTGTGAAATGATACTGAAGGAATTGGCTCAAATGTCCTYGTTTCCTCTCTCAACTCAGAGAAACAAGGATTTTCCATTCAGCCCAGTATTTCTTCTGCTATGTAATTTATCTTCAATAAAATCATGAATTTCAGGAATTTATCGATTACCAAACTGTAAGAATATACCAAGAACTGAAGAAAAAGACTGGGTATTATGGAAACCTAGTCTGACTCAGGAGATTTTATTTCAGCAGAGGGAAAACTACGGAAGTACCAGATCATTTTACGTATTTTTGTACTGCAAAACACACACACCTTTGAGAGAACCACCAGTAAATGCACCTTGGCACTGAGTACTTCATTACCAGAAGTGTGCTGCAATGAAGTTAGATACAGCAGGTGATGCAAAACCAGGAGCAACCTCACTCACCGCTGGGGGAGAAGCCGGTCATTGGCCAGGTAGCCGAGCTTATGGATCTCCTTATTGTAATCTCCATACTTGGACTGGACAGCATAAGAAGCCAGAAGAACTGCAGTTTCTGGTGGACAATATATTTCATCATTTAGAATAGCTTCTTTAACTTGCAGGAAGAAAAGTCTCTGAGTTATTTCCTGAATTAATTCTTCCGAAACATCTTCGGGAAAAAACTTGGCCCTGAACTTGAACTGCAAAGGGTTTTCTTTCCTTACATCTTGCTGGGTTACCTGAGGGAGAGCAATGTAGAAATAAAAATTAAAAGGAGCACTAAATAATGTGTAAAATACAGTTAGTTTAAGAGTAATAATCCCCCTGCGCCCTGAAATCCAAAGCTCCCTGACAAGCCCCCTTTGAAACCCACTCATGATTCCTATGGCACTGAATTAAGTACACCAACAATTTAGATAAACCAGACAATTTTGCAATACTACTCAAAGACCCCTTTAAGTTTCGTTGTAAGCTTAGGTGAATTTGTATTTATCACAATAARATCTAGTAAAAAAAATAAAAAAGATGTGCAAAACAAAAAACCCAAGCTATACTTGAGGATGAATTACAGGAAGTAAAAAGCAAAAAAGAAAGGCTTTAAAAAGGTTTCTTTGACAAGAACTATTTCTTTAACATGGCTGGGAAGTTGGATTCTTTTTAAGGTCTTTGAACTGTTGCACTAAATACACGCTTTGTTCTCGTGTAAAAAAAAAAAAAGTTAAATTAGTTCTAGTAAACATTATTCTATAATGAATAAGTATTACCAACAGGATTTTTGTGTAAATTTGCTAAGATAGAATGCATTCATTTTGCAAGTTTTACACAGCTTTCTGTCCAGACATTCAACAAAAGTTCACTTAATTTGCCTCAACTTTCTGCTCTGATTATTCCTGGAAGTGGAAACATTCAAAAATTAAACTCTTTGTTAACATCAAACAACAGTTATTGGCAGAAAGTACATTCAGAATACCAAAAAAGAAAAGCACCATTCTCAGACTTCTAATTCCACAAGCACTTTTGTACTCAGTTTTGATTTTTTATGTTCATACAACAGTCTCTCTAGAATTTCAAGTGGTGCAYGAAGTCATGCATCTGTTTGCTTGACCAGCAAGAAGTATCAGAAATTACAAATATAATGCAACCATTTAATCATGTTAGGAGTACACATGGCAGCATCGTTACTACATTCAACATTTCCAGTGTGAACGTTAATAAATATTGGCACACTTTCCTTCCTGGCCACTTGTTTCTGGTTTCAATATTCCATATTTCACTTTAACTTCACAAGTGAAATAGTTGAGACTTTTTTTGARTAATTATTTGTGTTCTTGTCATAATAAAGCTGTATTTTCCATATGTACTCTATGAATTTTATCAATCCTATCTGTATTTGATACAGATGTTTAAATAATAACTTACAAGCTACGGCAATTCATGTCATTTTTGGGSGTTTAAAAAACAACACTGCCACCTATACAAGGGTTTATAAGCCTATTTATAGATGTGTTGTTGAAAACTACATGGCCACAGATAGCAGAGGTTCAGAAAGATGCCATTTGAAATGAAAACAGTCATTCTGCCATCCGAAACACAACAGTAAGTAGTAACTTGTCAGCTGAATGTGAAATCAGACATCTCTCACCTACAACATTAAAGTCTCACCTACAACATTAAATACCTCTGTATTTTTACATCATATACTTTTCTAAAGGTAAGGAATCGTTACCTTTTTATTTAGCTTCAGCCAAGTTGAATAGCCTTTGCTGTCCACATACTGCAGCCCAAAAAACCAGACCTCACGAAGACCAACAGTTTTCACCACCTGAAAACAAGCAATCCACAGTTACCCGTGATGACTACAACGGAATCTTTTATGACAGTTCACCTTTAGAAACCATCTCAAACTGAAATAAGAAAATTTTAAAATATAAAAACATAAGATAGGAATAAAACATCAGGTCCTGAGGAGTATTCACTTAAAAGTTCCAAGTAAATTCGAACACAACGTTGCCAAACTTTCCAYTGCATCGTGCAACTTACTGCAGAAGCCCAACTCGGCACCTGGGGAACACAAGGTAAGAAACATGATGCTGATCTCCAAGATCAGGTCTGGGAATGTCTGAAGACCTACAGACAAGTGAGTCCACTTTAGCAAAAGACAGCATAGCTGTAATGAAGGATAAAACTTAGGGACTTATGGATAAACATGTAATGAGGAAGAATCACCTCGTTCAAATAYATGAGGCTTCTTCTAAGAGTCAGTGATAAAGGGATAAGGATGATCCAGTTGATAAATTGGATACRGATTTCCTACATAATAACTGGTTAGGTTTTTACAAAAATAAATAAAAATCCTCAAATAAAGGGAGAGACTTTTTATGGATAAATCAGAATTAAAGTAAATAGGAAAAATAGGAACACTTTCAGCTTCTCACAGAGCAGCAGAGCAGTTACTGAGCGTGTAACCACTATGGAAGTCACAGAGGACTTGATAAATACTCTTAAAAAAATAAAAATGGTATGACAAAATTCACTGTCTTTCAGAAAATTTGGTTTTCTAAAAGATATCTGAACAAACAATAACAAGAAAGATGAGCTTCAATAAAGATTAAATTTACTAAAAAAAAATGTACTTCAAAAAATAAAAACAAACAAACAAAAAACCTTAATGTTAACAGAAAGCTCTTGTAGTGTAAGAAAGTGCAAGAATGCTGCTGTATTGCTGTACAAATCCACGGTATTCCCAGGTCTCTAATACAACACACAGACTGCCCTTATCCCCTCAGAAGGATGCTGCATCACTGGAAGCAACTGAAAAATGTTGAAAAGATTCATCAGCAAGAAGGACCAGCTCCTCCCTCRAGAAAGCCAGAACTAAGGCTACCGACAGAAATGAAGAGGGAAAACCAGGATATAGATCTATAAAACCTGTGTGTCATCTTCAAGGAATATAGAGAATGATTATCCATTATTTCTCATAATAAAAGTATTAAGAGAATCTATTAAGGGAATCAATTGAAATCATTAGACAGTAAGTTCAAAACAAAGAAGCACTTTTACTACACAAAGAAATGGTAGAACTATCTGCAGACTTTTGCATAGTAAAAGTGGATTCAATAAGTGATTAACCAGAAAAGCCCAACAAGGATAAYTGTAAGTTTTGGCTCTGAAAGATCCAGTATGGCAGTACTTACGTATGGGCTCAGGTTGAACCATGCAGGCAAGCTGGTTATTCAGATGCATGTGAAGTAAACAGAATTTTACACACAGATCCTCCTCCACTTTAAAGAAGTACTATCGGGTTGCAAAATTAAGATTTTGAAAATTAGAAAATGTCACTGTTAAGAAAGCCGTGCAAATTTATTTCTGATCTTTTGCATATGCGTATTACGTCTCAACAACCAAAGACAAACATCCCTTTCTTGTCTTGTCCCCTCTTATTTATGGCTTCAGGAGCTGATTCCAAGAACTCCTCCTCTGCACTTTGTGGTTGCAGCAGATGAGCCCTGGTGCTTAACCAGGGCTCCAAGCTGCAGCTCAAGCTGGTTTGAAATGCAGATGCTCAACTACCCTGCCCATAAGGTGTAACTTGATAAAAGGAGACAACCCTCACATCTTTGCTGAACAAGAACTATGCTAAACCAACAGTTCTGAGGCTCAGTGCTAAGGTCTCGTCAAGGAAAACRATCCCCCAACACCATCACCAAACTGTGGTAAAACGTCCACCCCAGGATTCTTTCCCTCCTGGGAACTGTTACAGATGAGAAACTGGTTAACYAAAAGGGTAGAGATCCCCACTCGCACACTCTAAACTACAACAGAATGGATCGAGGAGACTAATGACAAATGTTAAGTATCTATCTAAAATAATAAGACTCAGGAAAGAAAACATAACTGGTTTTGTGCAATAAATAAGAATTTTACCAAGTTTCATAAGAATTTTACTAAGTTTCACAACAGAAGGAAAAACAAAGCCACAGACATGAGAAGTATGTCTCGACTGCTAGCAGATGGCAAGGGTAAGAACACACGCTCAACAGGAACAAATCAACAGCAGAAAACATCAGTTAGAAGCTGGAGGCAACTACTGACTGAGAAAGGAAGAACTGTTCACACAATTGTAGAGAAACGCTAGGTGACAGCTAAAATAATGGGTAGGTTATTTTCTGTAAGCAATAACTAACAAGGCTGCTGTCATGTCCACTATCTCTGCACCAACCCTGAAGAACAACCCAGTCAATAACTGCACGATTCAACTTTCTTACCATGGGGAAATAGAGTAACTTTTGTCTGAAAATCTCATGCTGCTTTTGTGGTACAGTTCAGCTCTTCGTGTTACTCTATGGAACTAACACAAAGTTAAGGTCAGGCTGACAATGCTTCTCCCCTCACACACGACTATGCTGGCTGATTTTGTCTGACCTTGTAATTTTTAATTTTCATGTTTCCAGAGGACGATTACAAGAGCCCCTGAGTTGTCAAGAGTGACACAGTGAACTGAGAAACACAGATCACAAGAGCATGAAACATGGACAGAAAAAGCATTCAAAACTATCTTCATTCTCCGTTTGYGAAAGCCCCGGTTTGGATGAAACCGATTACTTGGGCACAAGACATTACAGAGCAGAATGTCACTCCACCCAAGACTGCATGGCTGAAGATAGCAAAGGTTGGTAGGACAGAAGGAACAGCTCGAGGCTCAGGTGCCCCACAGCACCAGGCTTTTGACCCCACAGTGCTATTGGTGAGACRGAAAGCAAGGTGTCCACAGTTCAACACTGAAAGTTGCCTGTGCCCTTTCCTTCAAGGAGGCTCTGTAGCCATAAGGATCAAGGCACCACTATGAACCGGCCTGGAAGCAACAACTTCTGCTCCTGTGGAGAGGCTGAGGACACCCTGCTACTGAACGGGGTGGAGGGGTACAAACCACAGGTCCATTTCAAAAAACAAACAAAAAGAATCAAAAGAAAGAGCTCAGTGTTACCCAAAAAAACGAGATTTTTCAGCTGATGAACTAAAGGCATTTAAATGACCCGTTAAGTGTGTCGTCTTCTTTAAATATTCAGCATTACATACTTTGAGCATCTACAGTATCTGCAGTGGAGAGGACAGAAATGACAGCCCTACAAGAAAGAATTGTTCATAATACAGTTAAACTGTTTTTAAAGTGGTAATTTGGAATACTTCCACATTTTTAACTGAACACATGCATCACAGACCTTGTATCAAGCATTTAGTAGTTACTTGAGGGATAAAAGAAATAGCACAATGACAAGCTTTCGCTCTTCACTTTTCTAGGACACTACCCAACCTGGATCAAATAAAGTTATTTCAAGATTCTGATTTCTACAATTACATGAAATTAATAGAAAAACAACCTTTTACAAGAAATTACTCATTCAACCATTCAAGTGAATTAAGATGAAGGTACTGCCAAGTGAGAAAACGTTGCTCTGAGGTGCCTACAATCCCTAAGCACATGAAAATCTAAGGACAACATTACTTTTCAAATATTTAGGAACAGAAGTATCTGTAGCTTCTATTTTTGGACAAAAGATAACTGCCGTCTTCATTGAATTTTCATTTGTTATTTGAGAATGCTGAAGGTGACATGAATTTCTTATATTTGGCACTACTCACAGTTTTGTTGCAGGTTTAAGTACACTGTGATTAGAGATGTTAAACGAACAAGAGCACTACTTTCGTAGCAGCTCCACACAGGATTCAGCTGAGATCTCACTGTGCATCTTTTTAAAGCTGTCACAGAGCTGTCACACATTCCATTAAAATTAATAATGAAGGTCAAACAAAAGGACTACGTAACTCGCATAATGTAATGAAAACAATGAAAAACTACACAGAACCCTTCTGCTTTACCAAACTATGTCTATGTGTGTATATATACATAAATATACACATATATAAACATTATATCGAACACAAGTTACCTGATCAAAGAGCTGCTTGCCTGTTGTRTTGGGCTGGATGGCAAATTCCAACTCGGCATCCATTGTGGTAACTCTCACATTGATCTGCAGAAAATAAAGGAATATTTAGAACATACTGTAACAGCGTAATTGTTTTCTACACTGTGATTAACTTTGTAAGAAAGGGTATATAAGAGRCTACTTAAACAATTGTGATGGTCTTTACATGTATAGAAGAMAGCAGATACAAACAAGAAAATGTGAATAAAAAMCTATTTTCTTTAAAATTGTTTTTGAAGGTCAATCCATGAAAAAGACTAGAATTGATTTAATGGAATGAGTAACGTGGCCAGTATGATTCACCAAGGCATCTATATTCACTATAGTAGGATTTGCTTCCCAAACCCACGTAAAAGGAAAGCTGAAGCCACGTRCATTGTCACTTCAAGGTATTTATACCTGAGAATAATAAAAAATAAGCAAATACCATGACTGCCACACACAGCCTGCTGTCCTKGTACTTCCAAGATGTGAGGAATTCTGCTTCCTTCCTTTTGAAGGGAACAGAAGGGAAGTTCATAGGCCTCAGGATAGCACAGCTGCAGATTTTCACCACTGGAGAGACTCCAGAAGTTAACTCCACTTAAACTACGTGCACTTTCCCCCTTCCTCTACCTCCCCACAAAATCCCTGCTACACTGTGTCACTATCACAGGGTCACTCAATGGACTTGCCCACTCTTGTGGGAAATAAAGAATCATTTTCTAGATGATTCTCAATAGTCACAGTTTCCACATGCCTCAAAACACGTGGTCAGAGGCACCAGGTGATATCTCCAAAATCACTTCAACTTGTCCACACAGAGGTGAGAACTGTGATGGGAGCCGAGTGCTAAATGCAGAATATTGCCTTCTCACTCCTGGAATGATTCTCCATTCCTACTGCCATATTTTATTTATCTTTACAGGATAAAGAGTTAATATCAAATTTAGTTTGCTGCAAATCAAAAGTCAGAAACATGAAATTTCACCAAATTTAAGGCACACACAAATATATTGCTAGTTCTCTGTCTACCATAAAATATGGAACAGCAGTAAATTAGGCCTTGCATTAAAAGTACTTCTACCACTTCACCTGCTTCTCCATAAATTCATTTTCCGTTGACTATTCCTTAATTTTTCTATTTGGTGAAATCCTTTGAAAAGCAAGCGTGTAAAAGTCTCAGTAAGACAAAGCATAGCTCAAAGGTGTGAAAGAGAAAAGTGGGTAGAAGTTTGTCCCTGTCTAACACTTAAAGCTTGTTCACTCCTGTCTTTGGTGTCAAGGTAAATAACCGTGGGCAGGGACTGGATATGACAGGAGAGTAGCAGGAGCTGGAGAACCCCTAGGTTATAGACCTGCAAACAGGGACCGTAGGGAGGTTGAGCAACTGTTTTTGTGTGCTAATGTGTGTGCAAATACTGATAAAGAACAAAAGTTGAAGGCTTTGGAGGAAAAGATAGTACATTTTTATTAAAAAAAAAAAGGAGTATGTGGAGAGAAGAGCTGCTCTCTCTAGATTCACCTCCTTCCAAGASGGAAAACACCTCATATAAAATTTTAACTCTACCTCACTGAGCTGAACTGGTTCATAGAGCAGTTGCCCTTTAATTACAAAATTTTAAGCAGTTCAATATGCAGYTACAAAAAGTGAAGTCTCCTTTACAACAGCAAAAATAAATTAAGAGAAATAAGGCTATAAWGTAACTTTACTAAATGCCAAGGCACTGTTATGTAACAGCAGCACTGCCAAAAGGCAGCAAGTGCCACAGGAGGGCTGCAAAGCAGAGCAAGCTAAACCGGCAGCAGACTTCCTAAAGGTTCAGTAAAAAAGATATGTAGAAAAAAATAACTTCAAATGTCATCTTCTAAAAACGGGCTAACTGAAACAAATAATAACAGATGTGATATGGAGGCAAAACTAACCACCAGCTGTACAGGCTGGAAGCTRCTAGATGCTATCGTTTCCGGTGCAGGCTACCAAGAAAGTCTCAAATAAAAGGGATAACATTAAAATGTTACTTTTTATGATCTCTCTGAAACRCTCAGAAAAGTTATAGTGCTCTTAATTAAGTGTATCATTCACCCTTTCTGGATATTCGGGCGTATTTAAATTGTGGCATACAAAGAGTGAGCTTTTATAGCTCTATAGCTTATTGCTACAAAGCTGCAGTTACCTCTGGGCATGCAAAATTAGACAGCTACTTTTGRCAGAGCCTGGGACAAACACAAGAAGGGTTACTTGTCTAGCCCAAACCTGGCTCACACAGCTCTCAAACCTATGTTTTCAGTTACTTTTCATTTAGCAAAATAAAGCTAACAGTGCATTTTAAGGAAAGTAATGGGGAATGCACAGACTTGTCTAGAAAACAGTCACACGAGAGGCTCCCACAGAGTAAATAAGGCAGGGAGCTGAGGAAGTGCAAGAAGAGAAGAACGTCCCACATAGGCACKGGTGGAAACTGGTGGAACTGGTGTCATCGACTGCTTCCAGCTGCATGGAACCACGCTCCTAATAGAGCCCTAAGGGGGAATCACCCCAAACAGAAATTACACAGGCACTAACCCGGACCCTATTTGCTCTGTGCTAACTTTCCCACATAAATACTGCAACATAAAGGATCTCCTACAATTTCCTCTAGCAAACACTGGAAGGCTACCACGTCTCCTACCACAAGACCTGTTTTATGTCAACTTTTCAATGTAACTTGTCACTTGTCTTCAGAAGTCACTACAAAATATTAAGACCGACCCAGGGAACTGCTGCAGCTCATTTGGTATATTCACTAGGTACCTTCATACATAACTCACTTTCTCAATTCAACTCTCTAGAAGGGTCTACAAAATCACAAGCATGTCTGAGCAAATATTGTTTTCTAGAAGTTAAATATCTTTTGGGAATGGTCAGGTTTTTTGATTCTGCAATCTAATTCTTAGCACTAAATATTTTCTTTGGCTAGCTACTTTTAAGAGTCAATTTTATAAACAAGGCCACTATAATAATGTATAAAGTATACCACGAAGGTCAGTACAGCATAAGTTCTGCTGGAGAATTATGAAAACCATATAGCAAAGCTCTGTGTTAGAACAGTAAATCTAGGTAGCTCATAGTTTTAAAGTCATTAATTAGCTTAGATTCATTAGCCTATCATTAAYAGCAACTCCACTGCTAAGCAAGTGACCAGGGACAAGAAACTCTCCCTCTCTCATGCATTAAAACCCTTGCCTAATAATAATATTTTGCCTCTGAGCATCAGAAACAGTGATTTCAGTTTATCTTTGCCCTATCAAACTTGTTTCCCAACACCTAAGCACAGCAGAGGGGAATGTGTATGCACATGTATCTTGATAATTCTTTGTGAAGGAAGCAACTGATGTTTCAATGATGTGAGCTGTGGCAAACCTTCTCCTATCCCAAAACATTTAATCTGAATATTTATAAAAAGCAACGTATTATATTGATTTATCAAAACTAACAAAGGATAAGGTAGAGTGGCTGAACGAGCAGATATTTCCATATGCACATACTAAAATCATGCATTTATATGGCAGTTATTTTTGTTGCATATTTTCAGTGCTTTATGGACTTTTAAGATTTCTACAATTCCTTGTAATATTCCTTCAACTTTGTACAATTTAACGGGACATTACACATTCATTGCATTAACTTTTGGGCCTTTCCTCAATCTTGGATATGTTCTTCAGAATATGCACAACAATACTGTTTAGCTTAATGGTCATGTATTAAATATCTTCATCCTATCAGAGAGGAATAGTTACTGCAGTTGAGCCATCAGCTGTAGAGATTAATTGCAGCACTTCAGTTTTCGTTATGAAGCCCCAAACTGCATCATTACCAATAAGCAGGAAAAAAACAAGAAAATCTAAAAAGGATATTGCCTGAAAAGAAGATTTCAGTAGCTTTGTTTTTGTTTCAATAAACACAATATTAATCACCTTTAAAAGCCATAGGGACTAGTCCTATTCTAACTTAAAATAAAATTACATAGAGCAAAAAGTTTCTTCCAAGAGCTTCTTCACACTAGTTCAGCTGCCTACTGCCTAATATCACACATATATATTAACATATTTGTATGAAGGAACAGCAGCATATTGTAGCAGCAGCCTCAGTGCACATATGTGAAGAGACACAAGGATGGAAAAAAACAAAAACAAGATAAGGAAATAGTAAGAATTAAACATTCTTAAGTAAGAGTGTTTACATTCTTAAGTAAGAGTGTAACAACAAGAATTAAACATTAGGATCGAAGGCTACAGAGTAACAGCATGTGCACTTTGCCAGCAGTCAAGTCAAAGGAAAACAGTTCTTAAAGTAGTTATAGTTTTCCATTTACACTGTAGGAAAAAATCAAACTAATCCAAATTATTGCACTATGTGCTGGAAAGTTTTTCCTGTAAACCAATAGCATTTCAGTGAATTTATAGTGTCCTTTCACTACTTTACAGAGTTAATTTTATAAATAATATTTTTAATATATTGTTGCACAATTGCTTCTTCTGGACACACAACATCCTAAAAAAATGTTRAAGAATTAAGAACTTTTTGTAAACGTCAGTCACTTGGACATTTAGGTCTGTTGCTATCTAAGTGGTTTCTCTTTCATGTCTTTGAGTAGGGCAGGAAGACACTCAAAAATATTAGCAAAAATAGTTGATAATTTTAACTCCTTTTACACCCTTTAAATGCAACCAATATTTCACTCAATTAAATGTAATCTTCTTAGCCTATGAAATGATTAACAGTTATGTAAGTGACGGTGCCTAATTTTAGCTTCCATGCTTCTATTTTTGGTGCTGATCTGAGAGAACAGCATACATCTGAGAAACATTTTGTATCGGCTCATTTAGGAAGGCAGCAAATAAGATTCACCAAAAAAGCTGTTCTTCAGTGAGCAGAGAACTAAACACTTAAAAAAAATCCTACCTAATTAGTAGTTTCAGCTTTGATTAAAGCAATAAAGACTTAATTAAATACTGAGGCTTATATATAAATAAAAAGATGGGTCACAACAGAAGCTAA